AAATGGCCCAAATGACAGGAGGTACATTGCACCACGGTACTGTACTGTATTATAGAGAGTATTACACAGTCACACCTAACACCTACTGCACATAAGGTACAGATATCATTTTTTGTTTTTAGTTTTTCTAGGTTTATTTTTAAATAAAAATCTCATTTGACATTTTACCTCAGCCTCAATTTGTTCTTATTTTGTTCTTAATTTTTAAGCAATTTCAGCCTCAGTGTTCTTATAAAATGTGTTATTATAAATTTAAAAAAAAGAGTAATGTTTTTAGTAGGCCCTAAGTAAATAGGCCAGGCCTACGCTGTCAGTGAGACTGGTCAGAGTTTTCAATGGTGGATGAAGACACCTCCGAAAATCGAGTAACTTCAGGACCCCAAACAATCTGACGTCAGATAGGAACTATTTTTTCTCTTTTGTGGGGTCTTCCCACTTTTATTCATAAGTTCAGCATACACAGTATAATTTGTAAAGAGTTGTTCAATATAGCTTCTTAAAATATCTTTAACAATTTTTTTAAATTTATTTTTTACTTTCACTTGAAATTTATGCACATCGGTCAAGGTGTACAATTACCATGCCATTTTTTCTATTTGTTTTCTGTCATTTTAATAAAGGATATAATAAAAGGTCAAGCTTTTGTTTAAGCCTATTTTTTAAAGTTTGTTCGCTTGTATTTATAAACACTACCGTGTAGGCCTATATACAATATTTATAGGCTACATTATTTTTTCGAAATAGTTTCCCTTCAGACTATAATAATGGTGAAATTGTTTTCACCAAGTTTAACCAATATAATATTTTTTTATTTTGTTAAGGTCAATCATTGACCATTTCTTTTTTGCTTTTTCATTGAAACTATTCGTTTAGTCCATGACCTCAGCTCTTGAGTGATAATGATGAAGTGGCTAAAATAAAATAGGTATAAAACAAGGTATAAACTACACTGCCGTGCGAAGCAAACCATCAAGCAATGGAGCTGCACAGAGATTGCGACCCTTCGCGGACTTTCGTATCTTGATGATCCTGGGTTTTATTGACATTTTCTCCTATAACCATCCAGTCATTCATCATGGACCCAGGATCCAATCTTTGACCCTAGATCTACTAAAACTCGATGACCGAACATATAGACCAACCTAATTCCCGGACCTTATTAGATACAGGGCTGTTGGTCTTATAGATAACTTATCATTTGATCTTGAGCAAATGCATTTTATGATTTAATGTTTTTTGGATGGTTCCTGTCAAATTGTATCTCGGAGATATTTTAAATGAAGGCACCATAACATGCCTATTCATAACAACAAACTTAGTCCTATAATATTTAAAAACCAGGAATTAGCTATATCTGTGTCACGACACTATCGGAAGCTTCCTTACTGAGTCATCGCAACTTATCTTCCTACTCTTGTCGTATCTCTTCATTTTATTTCTAGGAAATTATTATCCAAGCACTACGCACGTTTCCAGTTTTAACCAATTGTTTTATTGATTTATAGCTGAACAGATACGTTTACTTTATGAGTCTCAAGCGAAATGTATCAATTAAATCTAGCATGTTTTGGGTATGATGGTGGTGTCTGTGCATGATCTAGACACCCTCCAAGTCAAGTTGAATGTCTCAGCATGCACGGATCCGAATCTGCGTGTTGTCAATACAACTTAACAACTGACCAATCAGAACGTGCTATTTAATAGCTATGATTACGCGCATGTCTCACAAACACGCAAGTTCGCGTACGATACGCACTTTGACGTTTCACATCTTTAATATCTATATCAAAGGGGAGGGGCTTAGGAGGAAATTAAGCTCAGTATTGGTCCTTTTGGGGTTTGGTACGCGCATGAGGTATGGGCTTATGGGTCTGAAAAACGTCTACAGTCTCTCGTGTCAGAAGATATTATTCCTTCTCATTATAGGTATAGCCCTACTGATTATACAATTGCGTCTTATCGTCGATAATCTATCAGTGAGATAAATACACACAAAGGGTTAGAATAATGGTACACCGCATCTTATAAGACATACCATGAGCATACCCTCCCCGGGATAGACACAGCCATGTGGAGAGCAATTATTGCACTATTATTGTTTTTGTCAGCTGAGAGATGGTTATCGAGATTAGCAAAGTCATAGAGGCCCAGTTTTCTCAGCAAGAAAATAGGCCTATACCGGAAGGCCCTATCGTTCAGATTATACAGTTACTTTACATATCACTGAAGATGTTTAAACCTTTATTAAATCATGTACAGACTATCAAAAGGTATTTGACAAATAAAGTGCCTAAACATCGTTATGATGACATCACATCATGACCATTTATAGGCACATCATGACTATATATGGGCTTCAACAGTTTTTGACCAAGAAAATAAATTTGCAGGACGATACCTTTGGCACCCGTACGTTTATAATACACTAGGCCTACAGTGTAAATAATATAAAGAACTGACTACAGTATTAAATGCAAAAATACATTTGGTGTTTTCAGCAAAATGCTATAGTTTCCGTATACATAATAAATACCGAAATTCAATAAGGAAATCTTTTTAACAATTTTAAGAGAAAAATATTACTTTGGAATAGCGTTCACTCAGCAAATGGTAGGTGCTAAGCAATGTTTATGCTTAGGTCTCCGTGTTGGGTGTGGGAATACATTGTCATTATTATCCTCGCAATGAAATTTAATAGAATCTAGATCCCCAAAAGCAATACATTTTCAATGCATTACAATGGCGAACTGCATATTTAAAAAGTGATATAATTTCGACCGTCCTGCTTTCCTCGTCTGAATGTTGTTCTCAACCCTAGGCTTTGATGACGTACAGTAGTTCAGGACCTTACCGCCTACGTTGTGTAAGAAAATACTACATTTACACTGATTGCATATCGTGATTTATTCTCCGATAATTAGCACAGTGTTGACATTAATGTATGCAGCAAAGTGGTTTTTCATATACATGTTCAGACCAATGGGGCAAGAATATTTGTTTCGGTACTTCTTAAATGTGTCTTAGTGCTTTGCAAATAGTTTTGTTTCGTTTTGTTTCTTTGTTTGTTTTCACATACATAACAAATTATTCGTAATATTCAGTTAAAAAATAAATAAAGAGTATAAAAAGTATGTGGATGGTGGTCAAAATAAGTTTAAAAATAAACTTTAGGATATGACCACCATTTAAAATAAAAATAAATCATCATTAATAATGCGATGATGAAAAAGAAGAAAAAGAAAAAATAATATGCCAAAAAATACGAAGAAACAAGATATGTAATTAAAAAGATACAATTTGATTTGTTATAGTTATAAAAATTGTTTAATTTAATTTTTTTCATTTTTTGTGGCTGAATACCTTATAAAATTAATTAAAACAAGAAAAAATGCTACAAATGTTATGCTTAGATTAATAAAGTAAAAATATTGCTATAGTATATCGAGTGCAAAATGACATAAAAAAAAACTGTTCAACCTACAAAAAAAATGACCAAAAGATCGATCGATAGTATCATTTTATAAAATTAATAGGCCAGTAAACTTGATTGATCGGATTGCTTCTTTGTGGGCTACCGGTATGTCTAAGTACCTACGTCAATCAATCAAATCAATCAAAAGCTTTGTTTATTCACGAAAAATATACATTTAGAATATACTTTATTTAAAACTCGTTCACCTAAACGAAAAGACAGCATTCTTCCAAGTCGTGACATTTTAAAACTGTACAAGATAGATAAATTAAAACTTTACCGGTAAATATATATTAGGCCTATAACGAATTAGCTTTCAATTGAAATTTAGAATGAAAAAAAAAATTCTCGTGAAATAACATACGTGATCGATTAAAAAAGTGTAATTGCCGATTTCAGGCTCAAAATATTCTTATTTTGTTCTTATTTTTACACACTTTTCAAACACACAAAATTATTTTTTACAGCAGTTTGTTTCTTTACTGTATTATAGAGGGTAATACATAGTCACAGCTACTGTAAATAAGGCAAATAAGGTACGGTATAGATACTATTTGTTGGTGTTTTTTTTTTTTGACTGACATATTCTGTTTTCAACAAGAGGATCAAAATACTTGTATCAACAAAGCATTTTTTGTCCTAATGTGAACACATAATCTTCCTCGTATTTACAGATATGAGGCGCCAAGTGCAAATTAATTATTATTTTGAATATTGAGTCGATTGGCACGATTGGACACTTCTTTCGACGGAACCGGTGGTCATTTGTGGGGGGGGGGGCTATAATGTTTCTTTAATTTTGAGAGCTTTTTGTCAAGCTTTTTTTTTAGTTCAATAGCCAATGGAAGAAAATGGGCTATAATTTTTCTTTTTTAAGAATCAGTAAAAGTTCGACCAAGCTTAGTGAAACAAAACGAAGGACAACTTATGGGGGTACGATTGGCCTTTCTTTTAGCGGAACCGGTGGTCATTTTTTGCTATAACAATTCTTCAACTGAGTGTCTTCGTCAAGTTTCTTAAGTTCAATAGCCAATGGGAACTAGTCTATTCTCTATACCGTTACCTTGGCCATATTCAAATACCGCGATAGATCGAGGAGCTAAGATGGGTTTCATTGGATTGTGGTTGTAGAAACACATGCTCTTAAAGTCGAATAGCTAACAATAGTCTTCCTCCACTTTGGACAATGCTGTTTATAACTCTATCATTTCTCCCGGAGTTAATCTGCGCTGGGAGAGATTATTGTGTCCATGGACAAATGACAAACCTAAAATATCTTCCGTAACATCAGTCGCATATAACGAGATTGTAGTGCAATAGAACAAATGGGCGCACTTTTTCCCGATCTACAATAGTGTAAACTAACACTAATTTTTGGGTGTTAGTATCATCTGCGTGCGTGCGCGTTTATTCAAGTGCATATCTCACACAGTGCCAAGGATGTCCGTCAACTTGTGTGGTCGCCTGCGGTAAACAATCTTTAGTACCTGCATTGGCCGTTCAACCAGGCGTGTCGATGTAATTCTCACTCACTCGTGGTCGTCGTAAGCGGGAGGTATACACGCGTTTGACAAGCTTCTTATGTCAGATATATGTCCTAGCTAGTAGAAGCCTTTTGGCATATAGACCTATAGTCTTGGCCTATTGATCGATGTAAGCGAGCGTTTGATAATCCTATGAGTTGATAAGCCAGGCGTTGTGTTCAGATTGATGAAGTGGACATCTTTTTTGTTGCCTGCCTTTGAAAAGCCTTTAAAAGTATCGATTTATGCTCGATGAAGCGTTTTTTTTTATCTTAGCACTTTTGCTGATTGGTCAAAATATACTTTCCAGAAAGAAATGAACCGTACGGTATATCATGTGGTCGAAATATATGAAAGTTTGGAAGTTATATTTTGCCAACATAATGACACATATCGGTTAATAAGTGAGCGACTAAATAATTAAATTGAACAGTGCGTATCGGCATAGAAAGAGAACAACGAGTCTGGATGGCATAGGACTCTTTTATACGTGGATATTATATTATATATTGTTTTGACTTTAACAATTCATAACGATGGGGTTTACATCTGGTATTAAGGATTACGCGATGAAAGGTGGACACCCACAATTTTGGAATTTCTTTAACACGAAGAAGGTGAGGAACAGTGGGGTAGTATTAGAAACTTTATATAATCATTAGTTTTTCAGTTGCTATTTTCACTACATCTCTTCTCTTAAGTGCTGTCTATGGAAGGACCTAGACCTATAGATATTTCAATATCCATTGTTATGATGGGTTAATTTCATTTCGTAAATCCGAAACGACGTGTTAAGTATTTTATTAACGAGGAGGCATTGGGTCTTTATTTTTTTTAAATCGTCACAATTTCTCACACTATACGACCTCCAACGCAAACAACACAATGTTTTCTTTATACAATCCCTGTCAATTTTTTTTATGATAAAACAATGATAAATTTTAATATTAATTATCCTTCTCTTCTATACCGTCATCATCGTTCTATCCGTTAAACTGTTCCTTTTATTAAATTCTAATTACGATATAATGATTGGGCAAATGTTGGCTATATTCTGGAAACGCATGACAGACGTCTTGCTGAGGTTTATTGGCCTCTAAGCGTTTGCACGATGGTAGTCCGTGCATAATTTGAAATATCAAATTTAATCCGCATTTTCAATGAAAACTCTTCTAACGACTTTTCAACAACTTTGCCCTAGGTACAAAATGTAAAGAACAGCGTTGTTGTGTTTGATCATGGAATGAAATTGTACATGCCCCATTTAAATTGATTATTTTTATTTGAAACAAGGCACCGGCATCGTCATTGTTGTGAGTCATTTTCATCATCATCATCATCATCATCATCATCATCTTCATTTATATCACTATCGTCCTCATCATCATCTCTCTCATCATCCTCATCATGCCTTCAATACCCAGTATCGCCATCATTGACATCATATCATTATCAACAATTATTATCACCTGCATCATCATTATCGACATCGTGTAATTATTATGTCATCAGCATCAATCACCATTATCATTTTCATCATCTTTATCCTCAAACATCCTAATCATTATTATCATGATTATCAGCATAATAATCAACATCATCACCACCAAGGTTCATCATCACTGTACCGCATTACATCATCATCACCATCAACAACATCTTAATCATGTTCATCGTCGTCGTTATCATCATCTTCATAACCATTTACATTATGATGTTTTAATGATAATAGCCATTGTTTCATAATAAATTAGAATTCATCTAAATTATTGTTATACTCATCATCATCATCATCAACTACCGTATACAATAACGAACGAACTAACTATTTAGAAGGTGATTTTGCAATGTTAGATGTTTAGGGCTTGATATGTAAAGTAAGCAAGTTTTTAAGATACCTGTATATTTTTTGTCTTAAGTTTGTATTGGCCCCAGATATAATTCTCACAACTCATAGGCCTATGTGCAATTTTCCTTTTAATCCAATTCAATGAAATCAATCACTGTCATCATATCCATGTACTGGTTGTAGAATAATCCTTATTTGTACTGTATTTTTTGAACCGTGGAAACCAATTATCATGATGCACTAATATTTTGACGTAATAAATATCTGAATTTAATCTAATCATGGTCTAATAAATAACATTATGAAGTGTGAAAAGAAAACCAGTACGGTACGCAATGAAGACCGCTGTCGTATTAAATGTCGATTTTATAAAAAAAAAAAAAGGGGGGGGGGGAAAAACCCACTGTTATTAACTTAAATATAAACATTAACTTAAATATCCATTAAAAAACAGCCTCAGTGTTTATGCGTGGTGGTTACCTGCGTAAAACTAAGGCCGACTTTTATGCCCTCTGACCGCACTTCACAAACAACATACCGCTTTGTATATTTCTTTAATCAACCCTGTATATGTCATTAAAATCCACATAACGTTCAATAGAAAATTCCTCTCTCTCAACATGAATTTATACAAGTGACTACATATTGTATTATGCCTACCATAAAACATGGATAAATTGCGATTTACAATTTAGTCAAAACAAGTCTACGGTGTCGTTAGAATACGGGTTAGAATACGGGATACGGGCCAGAATGCATAAAATAATCTAAGTGTAAAATCTTTAGGTGACATTAGTGGGGGACAAGACGGTGTTTTTGATGGTACCCTGAAGTTGCCTGAAGGGAGAACCGATGCCAGCGTGAATCTAGGCCTCTCGGCTTCAGTCATCTATTGCTCTAGTAAATCCTGATAGTAATCACTTTAACAATATACACCTTATTTTACCTTTCTTCTTTGATCGGCATGCCATTCTCAAAGTATTCGACGAATTAGCAGCCTCTGAATCGAAGCTACTTTAAATGTGACGTTGCCACAACTACTATGAAATTGATACTATTTGATTTAAAAGCAAATTTGTATAATTTATCCAAAAAAATGTACGTTAATATAGTCC